TCTATCAGTTCTGAAGAATTTTAAAAGCTAAAAAAGGAGAAGCTGGCGAGATAGTGCAATGTTTAAGGCACTTGCCCTGCACACGACAGAGCTTGGTTGAATTCTCGCAAGTATATGGTCTCCTGAGCACTGTCAGGGAGTGATTCCTCAGAACAGAGTCAGAACATAGCTAGGTATGGCCACCCAAAACACCAAAAATAAATATTGAAAGAAAATATATCAAAATGTTAACAGTTCTGTAATATGAGGAATAGTTTCTACACCAGTATTGGTATGTTTTCTATGTTCTTTAAAGTACACTTGTAAAAAGATGACAGCATTTTAGTTTCTCAGAGTTTCTCATGGTAAGGAATTGTATTTGGAAAGAAATACCCAAATGTGTGCTTGGCACAGAAAATGAGATCCCAAAGCAGCTGAATGTAGGCAGAAATGTACTGCATGAAAAATGAGAATTTGTGGCTCGAGAAAGAGGGAGGAATAAAGTCAGCAAGACGGCTGCAAGTTTTGCCATGTAACTCTCTTCAGAACTTTTCAAATATTAAATTGTTTTGGTTGGTTTGTTTGTTTTGGGCCATACCCAGCAGTGCGCAGGGCTAAGTCTGACCTCTGTGCTCAAGGATCACATCAGACAGACTCAGGGGATCATATGGGGTGCTGGGGATCAAGCCCCGGTTGGCCATAGGCAAGCAAGTGCCTTATTCATTGCACTATAGCTCCAGCCCTCAAATATTTAAAGTTTTTAGCTAATGAGATATTGGTTTGTTCTTTATTTTGACTCTGGGCCACACTCATAGGAGCTCAGAGATTACTCATGGCTCTGCACTCAGGGATCACTGCTGACCCAGGCTTGGGACACCCTGTGAGGTGCTACAGATCAAACCTGGATCATCTGCATGCAAGGAAAGCACTCTACCTACTGTACTATCTCTCTAGCCCTGGTTGTTGTTGTTTTAATGAGAAATGGGACTTCTTAAGTTGATGTAGATGGAAGAGCCAGTGATTAAGAAAGAGTAAGAAAGTAATCATAAACATTAGAGCTTTTGCTATCTTCGCTACTAAAATCAAATCATTCACCTCTGAGATCAAATTAAATAGTTCTTGCAAGGAAAATGAAAGTCAGGCTAATATAATAGCGCACCCTACCAAATGGGAGAAAGTATTAGCACACAATAGCCAGACAAAGGGCTAATATACAAGATAAAAAAAGCATTCAACAACAAAATTCAACAACATAAAAACCAATGATCCCATTAAAAATGTGAGGAATAAAGGATTATAAATTTCCAAAGAGGCCAATAGGCATATGAAAAAAGTGTTCATGTCATTTTCATTAGGGAAATGCAAATCAAAACAACAGTGAGCTATTTCACATTGGTGAGAATGGCATATAGCAAAAAAAAAAAAAACTGGAAACAACTGGTATTGGCGGTGATACAGTGAAAAACAAATACTCACTGTTGGTAGAAATGTCCTCTGGCTAAGCCTCAGTGGCAAGCATCAAACATCATAGAGCTTCCTCAAAAAAATAAATAAATAAAACAGAGCTTTCATATCTCTCAGTGATTCTACTTCTTAGCATCTATCGCCCAAACACAAAAATCAGTTAAAAGATCTATACCTGTATTTACTGTATAATAGCCAGGATATGGAAACAAACCAAATGTCCAAGATGAACGGGTAGAGAAGTTTCACTGTATATATACACAAGGGAATACAATGCAGCCATAAAATGAAATCTTGCAGGTTGCTACCACTTGGCTGGAAGTAGAGGGTATCTTTTTTAAAAAGTCAAAGGGATAAGGACAAATCCTAGATGATTTTACTCAGCGATGGAAGATAGAAAGACAAAATAAGGAAATAAACAGCACTGAACAATGACAGACCTTAGATTGGTCTTGGATTACAAAGCTGAATGACAAACAAAAGGCGAGGCATAGAAAGGAATGAAGAAGGAACTAGAGGTGACATGGGAACAGTGGGAAAAGTCATGGGTATGTGGGTGGCGGTGGGGTGCTTTGGACATCAGTACCATAAACCTTAATGCTCTTGTGACCATGTTACTCAAAATATTTTTTAAAAAACAAAGAAAGTGAACTTGTTAGGAAATAGTATCTTTGTAGGTATAATTAGTTATGTTAGGTCCTATTGGAATGGGAGGAGGGGGCAAATCCCTTGAGTTGGATTAAAGAAAGGGAGAGGCAGGGCTGGGAATGGAGGCACCCCACCACCACCTCCCCTGCCCCCACCAGGGAAAGTGTCCCGTAAAAACGAAGCATGAGAGCAGCATGGCAGGGAAGTCCAGAGGATGATCACAGCCACTAGAAAAAGACACAGAACAACTCCCTGCCAGCCCTGAGAAGGAACCAATGCTGTTGCCACTCTAGCGCAGGTTTTGCTGCCACAAAATAAACTTTCTGTCATAGAAGCCGCTCTGTGAGAGGTGTCTTCTGAGGGAAGACCTGACAAAGGGATGCAGACCTTTCCCTGCCTTTTACTACTGACACCCCTCCACATTCTACTCTCATGAGCTTTCCTTTGAGTTCCTGGAGTATTTTATGAAAGCATATGCGCTTCTGTTGTAGTTCTGTTGTATATGAAACTTTAGGAAATCATTTCTGCTTCTCCAGAAATAGGTAAACACATGCTGGCAAGCATGTGTTTGGAGAGTATGTGTTTACCTGTTCGTTTTTTTTTTAAAAGAGCATCTGGAGTTCTCTTTTCATTTAGTCACTACTGCAGTCTGTGTCCTCTAGACAGCTGAAGCAATGACTCAGGCCCTGTCGTTTAGTTGGGGAGAAAACCCTGGACCCCAAGACTGAGGGAAAGGAGGGAAGGAATTATATGCATGAGAAACCATTATTTATAGCATTGTAAACCACAGAATCTCAGTGGTTTAATAGAATGAATAAACAAATCAAACCTAGGAAGCAATGGGAAGTGATGCTGCTGCTTAGTAAGAATTTTCAAGAGGCTGGGGAGATGGTTCAAAGGACTGGAATCATGTACTTTGCATGGAGGAGACCTGGGTTCAATACCTGGCACCACATGGTCCCATGAGCATTGTTTAGGAGTGACCCCTTCCCCCTCCTCCCCCAAAAATAAAAGATGACAAATTTGGAGCATGGTGACAGACACTGGTGCAGATAAGACCTGACCTTGCAAAGAAGCCCAGAAGCAAAGCCTCAAAAGAGGGAGTATCTGGGCAAAGTTGGCAAGAATAGGGTGTCAGCAGCACCGGGTGTTTGGCCTTGGGCCTCGTTCAACCTCCTAGTCACATGAGAGCCCTAGACACAGAAACTGTCACATATGCTTAGCAAGTCATCCTAACTGCAGCATCTATCCTTGATTGGGATTCAACCAGGGCAAAGCACAGTTGGAGAGGTGATAGCCAATAATGCAAAACTTTTTGTGATTGGACCATCCTCTTAAGCTGAGACCCCCCCCCCCCCATAAAATGTGTGTATTTGGCAAGTGAACATGTATCAGCTGCTCTCCGTGGGTGTTTCTCCGCACGGCCATTATCCTTCACCCCACGTCTACCCGGATCCGGTGTGCAATGTGTCCGGGTATCGTTGGGGAAAACTGTTCCCCAAAAGACAAAGACAAGGCAGTCCATTGGGCAGGCACACAGGAGTCCCTCCATGGGTCTGTTTCCTGGCAGGAGCTGCTCCCTAATTCTGAGCAACATGCAACATGCACTACTGCAGTAACAGTGAATACAGCATAATGTCGTGAAAGAGAAAGCGGAACACTGAAGGGTGAGGACAGGTTGTATTTAGTAAGAATGCCATAAAGAGGGTCAATCTCAGAAACTGAACTCAACTTCCCTGGAGCAAAGGGATGCAGACTTCAAAAGGCTGGGCTATCAGGGACAGTGCCGGGGGTCTGTGGGACTGGACATGTAGATTTCTTTCCTCCCACACCAAACTGCATTCAGCTGGTAGATTGACACCTCCGATGGCAGAGGAAGGAGGGAAAACACAGGTTTCCCAGCTTCCTATAGAGTATCTTTGAGAGGGCATGCAAGGACCCATCCTGTACCAGGTTTCAACTATTCTGGGAATAGTTGACTCTTGTGGCAGTGCTGAGCTCTCTTATCTGAGCATTTCTCAGCTCTCTGGGATGAGTCATCCCAAGAATCCCCCTCTACAGCAAGAGTTTGCTGTCTTTGTGCAGGGTTTGGACAGAGTTGTTGGATGCCTATAGCTTTGCATTCTTGTAACAATGGGGTCTATCACCATTCAAGAAAACTCTGGGCCTGGAGATAGTGTAGTAGTTAGGGTGCACGCATAACCTGGGCCTGAACCCCCTATACTACATGGTCCTCAGCATTGCTGGCTGTGGCCCTAGAGGGCAACCCTACCCTTTCCTCCAAAGATGTAATAAGCATATCCTGACCTTAGATGAACAGACAAAAACATGAATAATTTGTTGCTTTTAACAGAACACTTTTGGGGACATCATTAATTCTACTCAAACTGCAGGAAGCCACTGTAGATGTTCACATAAATAAAAAAATATATATGATACACTTTTTATACAATAGTGAATATTCTGTGATTATTGTGGCCTTATTTTCAGTTACTTTAGCTGTCAAATGCTTTTAAACATATCACCAAATTGTCTGCTATTTGAAAGCATGCCACAGAAAGGGAAAGGTTGAGAGGCACCACCATAATCATTCGTAAACAGAAATTACACGCCCACCTGTGAATCACTGAGCTTGGTACTATGGAGGGATAATCAAGGAAAATTAACTCACAATCTTTCAAGAATGTATGTGTGAAAGGGGAAAATGAGATATATTATATATAGACATATATCTTGGAAAATAAGTAAAAGTATAAAAACAAATAAATTCTATGTGTATGTAGACATATTATAATACAACTTAATAACACAAATTTCAGAGTAAACATGATTTTTCCCCCTTCCCTTGGTTGCCACCTTTCTATGACAAGTTAATACACGCCTCCCTGTGGTTCTGTTTTTTTTCTTCACTTTAGATGTGTAATGTGCCAAGTGCATAATAATATTTAAGGGAGGCACATGTCACACAAATGTGTGAACACCCAATCATCATACTTATAAACCTGAAAAGGATCCCTGTTTTATATTAATTGAATCAATGTGAGATACAGTTACAAAGCTGTTCATGACTGGGTTTCAGCCAAACAGTATTCCAACACCCAGCCCTTCACAGTATGCATTTTCCACCACCAAAGTCCTCAGATTTTCTCCCACCCGTCCCTCATTGTCCCACCACCATAGTCTGCCTTTATGGCAGATCTTTTCTTCTCTTTCTCTCTCTCTGAGACAGTATCATGCAAATCACTTTACCTTCTTTCAATACTCAGTTCTTTTCCAGAGTGACCATTTCAAACTACCATTGTCATAATGTTTCCTTCTCTGTCCTAACTGAACTCCCTTTGCACCTTGGTGGCAAACTTTCTTGGTAGACCAGTTATCTTGGCCCTTGTTTATACTGTCTTTTGGTATAATTTACATTCTTTGTGTTTTTTTAAAAAATATTCTGCAAATGAGTGCAGTCATTTCTATGTCTGTCTCTCTTTCTTCCTTTGACTCATTTCACTCAGCATGATACTCTCCATGCCCATCCGTGTATATAAAAATTTTATGACTTTATTTTTCCTAATAGTATTCTGTTGTGTAGGTGTACCATGGTTTCTTTATTTTAAAATTTTTATTTATTTATTTATTTATTTTTATTGAATCACTGTGAGATACAGTTACAAAGCTTTTATGTCTGAGTTTCAGTCATACAATGACCCATCCCTCCACCAGTGCACATTTTCCACCACCAAAATCCCCCAAATCCCCAGTATCCCTCCCCCCACCCAATCACAACCATTCCCTTCTGTGTGACAGACAATTTCCACAATACTCTCTCTCTACTTTGATTACATTCAATATTGTGACACCAGTCCCACCATTATTATTTGGAATTTTCCCACCACCATTCAGATCGGTCAAAAGGCAATGGTAGACAATTTGTTTTATATTGCTTGTTATGAATAGTACATAATATTGCATGGTCGCAAGAGCGGCCACGAGTTCCTGTAATTCTAAAATTTTAATGATTAAGGTCTGAAGATATCTCTGCATTGAGCTGCTCGCTTCCAAGATTCTTTTGTGTGTCTCTAGATCATGGTCATTTAGAAGCTTAATAAGTAGCTGGGGGCAGTTCGTGGGCATCATCTCAGAGTACCTGGGGTGGGGGGCAGTGAGGAGAGGGACCAGCTCCTCCTCTGTCCCAGGAGGCCTGGCATTTGCTGCTACTGCTCCCACATTGGGTTCTGTAAGATGGCGGCTGCTGGGATTTATAGGGGGCAGGTGGAGGGACAGCACCTGCTCCCGTCTGGAGTAGCCTGGTGAAAGTGGCCTATTGTAAAGTCCAGCGGCATCTCTGCAGCAAGTTTCTTGGTTCCGAGATTAGTTTGTGTGTCTCTCTACCATGATTTCTTTATCCACTCATCTGCTCTTAGACAGTTGGGTTGTTTCTGGATTCTTGCTACTGTGGATAGTGCTTCAATGTTACCTGTGGGTTTTTCACATGTGCTCAGTGGGGATTGCACTCCTTATTGTGGTGCTCACCTGAGATCACCGTGATGCTCATACTCTTGCTCATAAGTGGTCCAACTCCTGGCCTTGGTGCTCAGATGTCTTTCCTTGTGCTGCTTACACATGCCTGGCCATATGCCAGAGATCATACACTGTTGCAGTGCTGTGGCAGTGATGGTAGGGAGTGGGGGGGGGGTCCACATACAGCAGAGCCACCAATAGTATGCTGAGTGCATGTGGGTGGCACCAGGATCAGACTCACAAGCTCATGCTTGCAAGGCAGGAGATTTTAGTCATTCATCTATCTCCAAGGGCCAAAGAAAAGCTTTTTTGAGGAGACTATACCGGGCAGTGCTCAGGGATGCTTGGTTGCGCCAAGTCTACATCCATGGTGCATAGGGAGCTGGGAGCAAACAAAGGACCTCACATATGCAATGCATGTACTCTATTATTTGAATCACATCTTGGCTCATTAATTATTCTAATGTTTCTTATCTTGAATTGGTATTCATATAAAATACCATTCAAACAATTTATAAGAGGTTGAAAAACATGGCCATAGAGCAGGTCTTATTGTAGGTAATGGGAACATACAATTATTCAATACTAATAAGCTTAGTTGTCTTCCTTCCATGTCAGTGGCTTAATGTACAATTAATAAAGTGACAGAAAATAAGCTCGGAAGCTTTTCCAAAGCAAGTCATTTCCTCTTGTTTTCATCCTCAAAGGCAAGGGCTTATACTTCTAATCTTACTTTCTTCATTCTAGATAGGACTTATATAACTGTATTTCAAACTCTATGAATACATGTTGTGGCTGAATTTTCATTCAACATATATGTATTGAGTACTTACTTTATATTAGCCTAAAGGTTTAAACGTTGGGCACGTTGGAATGGATTAGTCGAAATCCTTGACTTCATGGAGCTTCTATTTTAGTGGGAAAACATCATGAATACACACACACACACACACATATATGTATGTATATATATATATATATATAATATATATATATATCCCATCAACGGCCAAGATCAGAGACTATAAAACCCAGATCCTGGAAGAGAACAGCACAGAGTTTCCTGCCCCCGTACCTGACTGTCCTCACCGGGGCCCCTTGGATGGGAGCGGGTTGAGTTTCCCTCCCCGACCCCACCAGGGCTCCGGCAGCTGAAGACCTCCAGAACCAGCCACCGCCATGCTGAGACCACTCTCCGCACACATGAAGGTACCGGCAGAGGAACAAAGGCATGCGGGTCCTGGGACTGAGATCTCCAAGCCTACTCAGATCGGGGCTGAGCATCCTCCACCCAGATCCTCCAAATTCCAGTAGGCGGGGGTCACACCCACCAACTGGCCCCCTGGCGCCATGTAATCCCATCAACGGCCAAGACTCAGAGACTATAAAACCCAGCTCCCGGAAGCGCGCGGCTGCATTTGCAGCTGCGCGACATCATATTATCTCATTCTTACTTTGGACAAACTGGCAGGCTACCGAATGTAACCTGCCCACATGGCAGAGTCTGGCAAACTCCCCGTGGCGTACCCATTATGCCAAATACCAGTAACAATGATGGGTCTCATTCTCCTAACCCTGAAAGAGCCTTGAATATGGCACTTTTTAAAATCTCAGGGCTGGGAGGAAAGAGACGTTACTTGGGGCCTGCTCGAGGCAATCGACGAATAACAGGATGGTTGTGATTGTGAAAAGTAAAGGAGAATAAGGAGATGAGAAATGAGGAAGTATATGTGGGATATAAAGAAACATAAATGGGGGAACAACAAACACTCGAAGACAATGGAAACAAAAGACATGAGAACTGGTGTTCAGTAGGATAACATGCCACTTGAGGGGATAGGATGGGGTTGGGGGTTTAGATGGCCCAACGCCTATGGTGAAGGGAAGTATTTAACTGGGAGGAGGAGCTGGTGTTGAAAGGTGATAAAATGTTATGTATAAAATCCTATCAGAGCAGTACCATAAGCCACAGCGCAGACTGGTGGTGGGGAGGGAGAGGCTAAGCATTGGTGGAGGGAAATGGGCACTGGTTTCTGTGTTGAAACATTGTATGCCTGAAACCCAGTCATGAATACTTTGACACTTCACCTTGACTCAATAAAAAAGGAAAAAGAAAAGAAATGAGGGGCATAAGAGAGAGCACAAAGGTTAGGGGCTTGCCTTGCACTCATCTAACCCAGGTTTGATTCCTAGTACCGCATGCGGTCTGCTTAGCACTGCCACAAGTGATTTCTAAATGCAGGGACAGGTGTAAACCCTAAGCACAGCCCGGTGTAGCCCAGAAACCATAAAAGAAAAGAAAGGAAGAAGAAAGGAAGGCAGGAAGGCAGAAAGGCAGGAAGGTAGGAAGGAAGTAAGAAGTGAAGCACATGAAAGTAGACTATAGACCAAACATGATTGCCACTCGTTGCCTCTTTTGCAAATCACAACACCCAAAAGGAGAGAGAGAACAAAAGGGAATGCCCTGCCACAGAGGCAGGGTGGGATAGAGGGATGGGGGGTAGGGTGGGAGGGATACTGGGATCCGTGGTGTTGGGAAATGGACACAGGTGGAGGGATGGGTATTTGATCATTGTATAATTGAAACTCAAGCACAAAAATGTGTAAGTCTGCAACTGTACCTCATGGTGTCTCGCTAATAAAAATTTAAATAAATAAATGTTTAAAAAATTAAAAAATTTTAAAAAAAGAAAAGAAGTGAAGCACAAAAAACATAAACATTGAAATGAAGATGTTGGGGTCTCAGCAGCCAGCCTGAGACTTTGACCAAATCCCCTGCCCCTGAAAGCAAGACTGGCCCTGTTTACAGAGGCTCAGGGGCTTGCTCCAGTACTCCACCCATGTAGGCACTCTGGTTGAGGATGAAGGGCGTAAGAGTTACCATTTATCTGAGTTGATACACCCTGTCCTGAGAGTTGGAGGTGCAAATCATTAACTAACATCTGTGCTGAGCCTGACGAGGTAAATATGATACAAGTGGATTGCCCCCTGAAATGCATGTATAAAAACCCCTTTGTAGAGCTAATAAACAGATTGCTGATTGACCACCAGCTTTCCCCACTCCACGTGGTTCTCTGAGGCGGCTGAAATCCGTGGTGTGTAGAGGGCCAGGACAGAGGCGTCTCTCCTGCCCACTCCCTCTCCTATAGGGAGTAAGTCCGGCGACCAGGGGATGGTACTCCAGTGTGCCAGGGTTGACTGGCCAGGACCCCGACACTCAGATAAATCATGCTACTCCAATGCATATTTTTTTAATTTGAGAAAAAGGGAGTGAAATCGCTCTTTTCTTTATATTGTGGGGAGGGGCTGTCATAACCCTTCTTGTGGTGCTTACAGACACCGTGCTGTGATATGGTTGGAAGTCATTTGTGTAATCAGGAATTACAAACAAAGCTATCAGGCTCAAACAGCAGTGCTACCAGGATCACCACACTTTGTGTAGAGGGGACACTGGGATTTGAACTCATAACCACAGGCTTGCAAGACAGGTTCCCGAAGTCC